AGAGAGCGAGGAATCATTGATAGTGCCAAGGTTGTGACAAGGGTCCCAGATATTGGTAATAGGCACCAATAATTGTAAGTTGTAGGTAGCTATAACATAAATTAGAATATGATAGGCATCATTAGACAGGGACAGACCAAATACTAGGGGAGTTCTAAGGACAGGAACAGATTACTTTGGTAGAAAAGTTTTCATAGGATAGGTGACATTTTCAGTATAGGTGAAATTGAGGCAGAAATAGTGGGGGGTAATGCCAGGAAATAGCTTGAGGAGAAGAAGGATGACTAGGGACTGGGGAGTTGGGGCTCTTGAAGAAAACATCACCCGCTGTCCAATTCTGCTAAGGCTTCTCCCCACTTAGGAGACAGGGTGGGCCTTTGGAAGATGTAGCATGAAGCATCAGGCCTTTGTGCTCTGCAGGGCCAGGGTATGCCTTCCCAGACCTCATCTAGTCTCCTCTGTTCTGCAGGGGTCAGCGTCAAGAAGGGCCATGACCTGGTGAACATCCATTCTCCCATCGTGATCTCCAATGCAGGAATATTTAATACCTACGAGCACTTGCTGCCTGAGAAGGCCCGCTGCTTACCAGGTAAAGGCCGCTCATCCTTCCCCACTGTACTTCCAGCCTGGCTCAGCCTGTTCTGCAGGCCCCCTTAGGGAGGACGGGTCACTGCCCCTCCTCACGCCCTCTGCCCAGGCCAGGCCTGGGGCTTGGGTGGCAGCTTCCTTTGCCATGGTCCGTGAATCCCAGCCATCCTCCATTTTTCTGATCCTTTTCATCCCCTTCTTGGGACATTGACTCCTCCTCCTGCCCATCTCTCCCTCTTCTCTTGGATGTCCATCTGCTGGTCGCTAGCACTTTTATAACATGTGGTGGTTTCCACAGCACTTGGGGGACCCAAAAAGTCACATCCTGTGACCTGGGGGATGTGTCACTTGGTTTGCTGAACCATTTTCTTTTTCAGTCTTTACCATAAGGGAAAGTTTCCTGAAGAGGGGAGAGGGGAGGGGCATGTTTGGAAATGGCGGTGATGTCAAAATGGAAGGCGCCAAGTAAATGAAAGGTTCACCTGGATGAGACCCATCGCTGTGGAGAAAAGGAGGGAGGCTCGAGGTTGAGGTGCTGTGGAGAAGGAAAAGATACAATTAATTTAATTTTAAAAATACTGTTTGTTCTCTTTTGTTTCATATCACCTTCATTTCCGAGTAGATTCCTCTCCCCTCCTCAGGGAGCTCTTGTAACAAAAATCTTTAAAAGAAGAGAAAAAAGCATTTCAGCAAAGCCAATCAATAAGCATTTTAATAAGTGTTTACTGTGTGTACAGCACTGTGCTTGTCACTAAAGATACATAGGCAAAACCCAGCTCCCACTCCCAGGGTTCTCCCAGCCTAATGGAGGAGTCAGCAGGTACATGGTGATGTGCAGACAGGATAACTTAGAGATGATGTCAGAGGGAAGGTACAAAGACTGAGAATTAGGAGACGCTTCTCACAGGTCAGACTTTAGCTGAGATTTGAAAACAGCCAGGGAAGCTAAGAGGCAGAGATGGGGGAGGAGGACATTCCAAGGATGGGGGTGGGGAGGTGGGACACACAGTAAATGGATGGTCTTGTTTGAGGAACAGCCCCGAAGGCAGCAGATCGAACAGTATTTGGAGGATAGTGAGTATAAGACAATTGGAAGGGTGGAAAGGGGTGAAGATGTGAGGGGCTTTCAAAGCCAAACGGGATTTTCTATTCGTTCCTACACATAACAAGGAGCGTTTTTGGAACGGGAGTGACCTGGGCTGACCTGCACTTTAGGAAGGTCAATTTGACCCAGGAGAGGGTGATGGACTGGAGGGGTCAGAGATTTGAGGCAGGGAGACTACCTGCAGGCATTGCCATCTTTCAGGCATGGGAGGGTGCACCACGCTGGTGGCGGTGTCAGAGGAAAGGAGAGGAATCTACAGAGATGTTGTGGAGGTGAAATGGACAGGCCTTGGCAATGGACTAAAATGGGGGAAGAGGGGATCAGAGTGGCAAGTCGAGGATGATGTCTGGGTCATCAGTGTGGGTGACTGGGAAATGGGGGTGCCCTTTGCAGTAAATGGGGAAGTTCAGAAGGAGGGGAGCGTAGGGGGAAAGAGAAGGCTTTCAGTTTTGGGCATGTTGAGTTAAAGATGTCAGTGGGACATCCGGTTCAAGATGTCCAATGGGCGGTTGGAGATGTGAGGCTGGAGGCGAGGAGAGAGGTCAGATCTAGACAAATAGATCTGAGAATCATTTGTATAAAGATGATAATCAAATCCATGGGAGCTGATGAGATCACTAACAAAACAGTATGGAGGGAGAAGAGAAGAGGACCCACTGTCAATGGGCATGGCTTGGATTCAGCAAAGGAGACTGAGAAAGAGAGTTCCGATGGCTAGGGGAGAACCAAGAGAGAGAAGTGAATCAGGGAGAAGAGGGTGACTGAGCGTCAAAAGCTGCACAGAGGTTTTGAGATTCCGATTGAGAAAGACCACTGGATTTGGCGATTAAGAGATTATTGGTAACTTTGGAGAGAGCAGTTGCATTTGATTGGTGAGGTTGGAAACCAGACCATAGAGACTTAAGGAGAGAGGGAGAGGAAGAGTGATGGGTTTTTGAATGTGGAGGAGACATGGACATATTTGTAGGCAATAGAGAAATCACCAAGAGACAAGGAGAGACTGGAGATTAATGAGAGGGGGCGATCTGCTGAAGAAGATGGGATGGAATGAGATCCTGTGTGAGGAGAGGGGTCAGCCTTGGCAAGGAGAAAGGCCCCTTGTTCATGTGAAGCAGAGATGAGGGAAGAAATAGTAGTGGAAGACGTGGGTGTGTGAGGCGAGGAGGAGAGAAGAGGAGCTCTGCTTTTTCAGTGAAATATGAGGCAAAATTCTCAGCTGAAACAGGGGACCGTGAGAGGCTTAAGGAGGGTTGAACAAGGTTGGAAATATTGTTATGGTAAGGGATAATGATCCATGAAGGAGATGTAAAAGAGGGGAAAGAAATAGCGTTTGTATAGTGCCAACTATGTGCCAGGCACTGTGCTTTATGATTCTTATCTTGTTTGATGCTTATAACAACCCTGCTGTTATTCCCCTTTTATACTTGATGAAACTGAGGCAAACAGTCATTCAGTGACTTGCCTGGGGTCACACACAGCTAGTAAGTGTCTGATACCAGATTTGAACTCAGGTCTTCCTGACTCCAGGCTCTGTGTTCTATCCACTGCCATTCACTCTTCTATCCAAGGCTTGGCTTGCCATAGTGAGGGCCCTATTAAGATGATGTAACATGCTTGTTGTGGATCCAGTCAATAGAGTTTCATGAATTTCCAGCTTCATTCAGCAGCGTATAAATAGGAGCAAAAGTAGGGGTGGTCACCGTGATCCAAGGCTAGAGTTCATCAGGGCACGATCTTCCTCAGAGTAAAAGGGCAAGGGACTGGAGACAAGAAGACAGTATGGGGTGAACTGATTCACCAATGGGTCAGAATGGGTAAGGGAAGAGAATGTTGCTAGTGTAGGGTGATGGACTGGGAAAAATCTGATGGGTGGATGGATTGGAAGCAGTAGTTTGGGGCTGCAAGGCAGAGAGAGAGGAAGAATGACAGTAGGTTCTGTCGGTCAGAGTTCATGAACATGGATGTGGAGCATGTGTGGGTAATGGCAGCATCCAAGGTATGCCCATGTCTGTAGGAGTGATGGGAAATGAGCAAGCTGAAGAGAGAGTTCAGGGTTCGAGGGAGTATCAGTAGGCATGGTGAACACTCTTGGTATGAGGGCCAGAATTGAAGGGGAAAGAAAGACTGTGACCCAGGCACTGAACTCACTGAAGAAGGAGAACAGCATCTTGGAGGTCTGCAGACAGCAGCTCCCAGAAGCTTAATTGGGTGATAAATGTGGATTGAGTGAGTGTACCTTGCAGGAGGAAAGGTTACTGAGACATGGTGGTGGAGGGAGAACCTGGAAGTGGCCATGAGGAGCAGAGAGTATTCGAGCTCCCCTTCCAAGATCAGTGGGTAGTGGGGAACACAGCATAATGGTGAAAGTACAACCAGGGCTGGAAAGGGTGGCCAGGGAAGCTGGTGGGAGCCGGGGAGGCGGGGAGAAGCAGGGCTCAATGAGGATGAGAAGATGGAGGGAGAGGGGAAGGAAAAGGTTGAGGGGAAATCTCATTGGTTGCCTGTGGAGCAGGTCTTCTAGCAGGGGCAGTAGATGGAGTGGAGTGTTGAGGCTGGAGGATTGGGGTGGGGGTGAGGCATTGAGAGGCATGGGAATAAGGGAGCAGTCAGTGGGTGATGGAGAGCAGCGCTTGAAGTATTGAATCCATGCAGAGTTGTGGATGAGACTAGGGGAAGTATGTTAATCATCGAAGAATGATTTGAAATAGGCTGACCTTGTCCACAGGGTGCATAGCCTCAGGTGGATTTTTCTCAGGGCTCGGGCAGCTGCCTGTGGCTTGAAAGGGAAGGGAGCATGGGCATTGCTTGGATGGGGCTAGCCATATCCTGTGGAGCTGATGGTGCTGCAGATGGTGCCTGCAATAACCTTTTCACTCATGGACTCTGGCCTACCCAATCTCAGGTTGCAGATGCCTTAGGCCATGGCTTTTATGGTTGGAACCTTTCTAGGATTTTTGTCTTGGGCTTGCAAATTTAAGGGAATTCCTCTAATATTCTTCTTCCTATGTTGGACCTATTCTTTATGCTACTTAGCTTGGTAGATAAACAGGAAGTTTATTTTCTCTGTCTTCCTTTTTGGTTTAGGGGCAGGGGAGGGGAATAAGCATCTGTTAAGCTCTACTGTGCTAAAGGATTTACAGTATTATCCAATTTGATCCTCAGACAACCCTGGGAGGTAGGTACTACTATTGTCCTCATTTTATAGATGAGGAAACTGAGACAGTGGTTAAGTGACTTGCTCAGGGCCCAGGACCACACAGCATTAGGTATCTAAGCCGAGATTTGAACTTAAGTCTTCCTGATTTCAGACCTGGCACTCTATCCACTGCTTGCAACACCTTGCTACCCAGCTCTTACGAGGTACCCTCTACCTCTGGCCAGGAGCACATCATTCCTATATTTTAAGCCGTGATCCAGATATCCAAATTTAGATTTCATGCCCAAGTTTCTTAAGCTATTCACTTCCTAAATTTGTCTCTCTCTTCTAAGACTCTTCTCTACAATCAGCAGCAGCGATGAAAACTTCTGGGCCACTTAGCCTTCAATTTCTTAACAGAATGAATTAATGAAAAAGCTTTTATTAAGTATTATGTAGTGCTGTCAAATAGAAGTGAAGACAGTCTCTGCTCTCAAGGAGTTCACACTCTAATTGGGGGTACAACACAAGTGAGTTTAGGTGCAGGTTGATAGCAAGGCCCAGGGGTTTTGGGGGCTCTGGGCAGGTCAGATGACAGTACCCACAGGAATGGAGGGAGAAGCAGCAGGGTAGATGGTCAGCCCTGGGGGACTGGAGCAGATAGTGAGGCCAAGGAGTTCTCCACTTACTGGAATGGTCATAGCTGGTGAGGCCTAACTCATTTAAGTAGTATGAGCAGCCACTTGGCTCTTCCTACCTGGACAGCCAGATGGGGTGAGGGAAGGGAAGAAGGGAGAGAGCGCCCCCTGGTGGTGGCTGGCCCTGTGGCCCAAGACTTCATAATCTTTGACAATGCTTTCTAGATCCTTTTTGTCAGTGATTATTTGTCTTTACCATTCACAAGTTTGTGGTAGTGAGGTTGGGCAAGTCTGAGATGTTCTCCATCATCTATTGGATACTTGTCATGGAAAGACCTCTGGATTAGTAATATCTGGTTGACAAATGGCTTCGTCTCTACCCCTTAGGGAGTCACCATGTGCTGCTGATAGCATATCAGGGGTGGGGAACCTGTGGCCACATGTAGCCTTCTAGGTCCTTGGGTGTGGCCTTTTGACTGAATCCAAATTTTACAGAACATATCCTTTTATTAAGGGGATTTGTTCTATGACGTTTGGATTTGGTCAAAGGGCCACACTTCCCCACTCCTGGAATATACCATTCATGTTATTATTGCTTGGAGGAAGAGTTGATGTTTCTGTCTCTTTGGGAAGAGCCTCATGTCTGTTGCTCAGCTTGAAGTGTTCTCCTCTGCATTCTTCTACCCTCTAACCTCCAGACACAGGCTAAGATTTCCCTCTGGCACTTCAGATCCTTTCTCAAGTCCCCTGATCTGTCATCAATGAAATATTTTAGATAGTAGGCATAGTGTCCTGATCCACTCATGAGAAGAAACAAGGGTGTCCAGCACACTGTCCCTCAGGTAAAATGGGTAAGTTTCAACCGCCAGGCAAGCTTCTCTGAGGTCAGGACTTTAACCCATCCCATCTGAAGCATATACATGGCTACCAGTCTGTCTCTGGGTCCTGAGGTCACTGGTCTTTTTGACAGGTATACAGACCCAGCTGGGCATGGTGCAGCACGGTTCGTCTATACTTTATATCTTCATCTGCCTCCAGGGCTCCAAGAGTGACCTGGGTCTGGAAGCCAAGAATCATTATGTCTACTTTGACACAGACATAGACAAGGCGTAAGACCTAAAGAAGGGGAGCTGGGGCTGGGGGTGGCCCTTGATCCATCCTCCTCTTTCCTAAAAACTGGGCAGGAAAGGGGTCCCAGATGACTCATAAGCCCATGGTCTCCACCTCGCAGTTACTTACTCATCCTTTTTGAGGTCAGAGCTCCTTCTAGAAGCTCCTGTATCTTTTTTTCCCTTCCATCCCCTAAGCCATCTTCCTCTTTCCCTAGCTGCCAGGATGAGTTGTTGGTCTGACCTGTTTAAGTTGTCTCTGGCAGCATTTTTGGATCCAAGGAATCTGTCCAGCTCCCCTACTACTAAACGGTCCTGTTTGGGGAGAGTGATTCCTGTCCCCTTCTTGTGAGAGGGTTAAGACACCACCACAGAGGCTCCATTGATTCAAACTGTAGGGGAACCAGTCATGTGGCTCCTCTCTTCTTTCCTCCCCACAGGATGGAGAGATACTTATCCCTATCCAGGGACCAAGCTGTGGAACACATTCCCTTTTTCTACATCACATCGGCATCAGCCAAAGACCCAGCATGGGAGGACAGGTTCCCAGGTGGGCCAGAGGCCATGGAAGAGGGGAAGGGAAGAGGGTAGGATAGGCCCAGCACCAGGTATAGTGACCAGAACTCTGTCTCCTCAGACAAATCAACACTAGTTATGATGTTGCCTGCCCGCTACGAGTGGTTTGAGGAATGGCAGAGTGAGCCCCAGGGCAAGAGAGGGAGTGACTACGAAGCCCTGAAGAACTCCTTCCTAGATGCTTCCA